GTCCGACCTAGGACGGTTCGGGGGTGTTACATGGAGTCTCTCCTGGAGGAAGCTACAGCTCAGAGAATAAGCACTGGCACACTCCCAATCTGTTACCCGGGGTTGCCGTTGGAAACTAAGTCATTAACACCACTTGACTACGAGCCTTTGATAGATAAGGTGCGACATCAAATGCTATCCTGGTCCATTCGAAGCTTATCATTTGCGGGGCGCCTACAGCTTATTAACTCTGTTGTTATTAGTACTTATCAACTTTTGGAGCTCAGCTTTTATCTTGCCGGAGAAATGTCTTGATACAGTTGAAAGTATGTGCTGCGCCTTCCTTTGGTCTGGATCTCCTAACCAAACGCATAAGGCTAAGGTAAGTTGGGAAGATCTTTGTTATCCAAAAGCTGAGGGAGGTTTGGGTGTTAGGAGGTTGAGGATTCATCTAAAGTATTTGCTTTAAAACTTATCTGGCGCCTATTTACTCAGGATACGTCATTGTGGGTCTGCTGGGTTAAGTTCTATCTGCTTAAGGGAAGTTCTTTTTGGGATGTAAGGGATACACAAAAATATTCTTGGATGTGGAGAAAGCTCCTCAAATTAAGGGATGTTGCCTATGACTTTCTCAGGTTTGAGGTAGAAGATGGGAGATCAACCTATTTTTGGTTTGATAATTGGTTGAATATGGGAGATTGATTGATGTCACATGAGCTGCTGGTACTACTTACATTGGTCTACCTCGTCGAGCCACTGTCAGCGATGCGGTTAAACAGAACGAATGGGCAATTCATGGACAGAGAAGTCGCCATTATCATGAAATTTATGCTGCTATTACTGCAGCACCAGTTCCTGAAGCTCAGCACGAGCGAGACACGGTCTTATGGAGAGCAGGTGATGATGACTATAAGCCTACCTTTTCAACTACAAAGACATGGGAGCAGATCCGTATGCGGAAGGAAACAGTGAGCTGGAGTAAAGTAGTGTGGTTCACTCAAGGGGTGCCTCGTTTTTCTTTCATCACTTGGCTTGCAGTCAAGAATAGATTATCTATAGGAGACAAGATGCGCTCATGGGGAGTGATTCAAGGTTGTGTGTTTTGTGGAGAAGTTGATGAGACAAGAGATAATTTGTTCTTTGCATGCCCTTATTCCTTTAAGGTCTGGCATGAGTTGGCAAATCGTGTTACTGGTGCTCAACTTGATCCGGATTGGTAAATCACACTAGAGCGCATGGAGGAGCCACAAGGCGGATTGTTGGATAGAATTCTAATCAAGTTTTTGTTTCAAACGACTATAACCTATGGAGAGAACGGAATGCAAGGAGGCACCACACTAGTTGGATGACTTCAGATGCTATGTGTAAGGTCATAGACAAAGCAATGCGGAACCGAATCTCATCCCTTAAGTATCGAGCAAGGCATAAGCTGGAAGGGTTAATGCGGCGATGGTTTATCCACATTATGTAGTTTTGATTCTGGTTTACATTCTTTACTCTTACATATTACGCATAGTTTAGTTTATTAGGCCATGACAGCATTATTATTCTTTTGTAAATGCTCTTTCCCATAAAGGATGAATAAATTTGAAATTTCATCCAAAAAAAAAAAATTATATATATATATATATATAGAGAGAGAGACTCAACACAAGTATAAATGACCCAAATAATTAGAACTTTGGTTAAAGTTAATTAATAATGATTATAAAAATAGTTTTAAATCTGTAATTTAAAATTGTAAAATAATTAATTTTTGAATTTAATAGCTTTCTCTATAGTTTATTTACCTTCTTTCCTAAATCTTAAAATAAAACTGGAAATTTTTAATATTTTCCTTTGATTTTTGAGATTTTTAAAATTTCATTTAAAACTTTGTAGTATTTTAATTAAAATAAAAAAGTTTAGATATTAAAAGGGGCACAATTTTAAAGAAATTGTATTAAGGTGAACAAAATAATTAGTTGGGATATTAAATAGGCTAACAATAAAGTTAGGGTATTAAAAATTTAATGAAATTTAGTTTTAGTACTTTTATAGAATTTCCCCTTAACAGTATGTAGGAAGATATATATTTTTTATAATATTACCAGATTTATTTTTATTTCATCGGATCTATCAGTATTCTTTTCTTGGATTTTTCCCTTAACAATATGTGGGAAGATAAATCGTTTTATAATATTATCATATTTATTTTTGTTTTATCAGGTCAATCAGTGTTGGTGAAGGGGTTAATAGCGATTTTGAGGTTTTTAATGGTTTAATTGTATTTTTAAAAAGAAATTTTAGTTGAATCTCAACATGATTATATACGGATCATCTAATTTAGCAGTTAGTCATAGATTTAAATTTGATATGACTACACTAAGATTCAAACATATAAATGTACTAGTGGTATTTCGGCGACGCGCCGGATTCGTATGTTTTATTCTCTAGCGAGTCCGAAATTATTTATAATCCTGAAATTACCAGTATCTATGAATAAGCTCTTACATCATGTTTCTTCTTTTAGATGATTCGTATGATGTTGTTGGGAGTTGTTACATTTTGGTGGTCGATACGGGTTTCTAACAAACGTTTAATGTATTTTGTAGTTAATGAATATTCTTTTTTTTTGTTGTTCACTGGGATATATCATGTATGCATTATGGGATGTTGCATTATATATTATTATACTATATTTTTAAAAGAATCTATTAGAAAGTAGAGGTTTTTGTTTCTAAATTTCCAACGTTAATTGGTCTTTGTGTTCTTGTGGCTGATATTTGAATTGTAAATTTATTATGATGGCTTAATTATAGATTTTATTTTAGGTCTACTTCTATAGTTTTACAGTCGTATGATTGTCTTGGTTGGATATGAGTGTGTAGAGAAAAAGACGAATAACATGTGGCAAAAGGATAATCATTTATAACTTTTACATTTTCCTTTGTTTGTTCTAGTTATAGCTGTTGTATTAGTGGTTAGTAGTAATTCTCTTAATTTTCCTTAATGTAGGAGTTAATTACATGTGGATTTTGAAGTTTAAATTGTAGACGATTTGAAGTGACTGATGAAGAAGTGATAGGATACGGAAACAAATTTACTTATTTGGGTTAAGTTTGGCTTATTGTCCATTTGAAACTAGATGATATGTCTCATGTGAATGTATTTTACACCGTAGTTATTTTGTTGGTTTACTATGTTCCCAAACTTTGATTCTATGTAACTACTTTTTTAATCTATTAACGTGTTTTTTTTTGTCATATTTGTTGTTGTATATAGTAATTTTTGGTGTAATGTTTTAGATTAGTGGTTGACCATATTTCGTATTTAAAAGTATGTAAAAAATCAGAGAATACCAACATGAAAGATGACGTGAAAATGCATATAACAAACTATACTTCTGTGAATCTGCAGAAATAGCTGAAGATCGATTTATTTCTTCTACCAATCTTTAATTCTTCTTCAAAGTCACTCTTAGAAGTCCATCAAACCACATTAACCCTTCATAATTAACCTCAATAAATGTTAATACATTCTTCCTTACCTTGTGAAAAGAGCTCAATTTTAAATCCATGATCAACTTTTCATATTTGATAAATAATGTAATAGCAATTTTCAACTACTTTTACACTCGTAAGATTGGTAAGATAATGGAGAAAGCTAATATAATGGGATTATGAAAATTATACTTTACCTTGTCGTCAGTCAAAAGTAGCTCAATATTAATTAGTTTCCAGTTTTTTTTTCTAGATTTCAGACTTCTGAAACATTATCAACTTCTTCTCACATACTTTAGGAAGAACTTCATGTAAAAAACCTATATAAAGATGTATAAGAAGCTGACGATTGATTTCTTATTGTTGCTACTTTGAAGCTAGCAGCTTTGATAGTACACAATGGAAAAGATAGGGAACATGTCTGAGTTTAACGACGGCTTGGCCTAAATGGTTGAAGAGAGGTAATGAAAAGGTACCGGTAGCAGACATAATCACTTTCGGATACAATTTGGGTATTGTACTTTGGACCTAATAAATTTAATTGTTCTCTTTAAATGAACTTATCATCTAGTTATTATTTGAAAAGTGATTTTATAATGTAAGTACACAATTCATTTTCACCAGAAAATGAGGACATAGCTTTAAAAAATGACATGACATCAATTTAATTATGACATGTAAAATTTTTTAGATAACTTTTGACTTTTTGAAAAGTTTTTAAAATATAGTTATCTAATAACTTTTATAATATAACTAAAAATAAAATTTGTGCATAAATATTTATTTACTCTGGCATAACTTTTGAAATATTTTATAATTAATAAATCATATATCACCATTACAATATAATTTATATTATATGTTTATAATTAAATATATATATATATATATTAAAATTATTTGTAAATTTTCTTTAAAATACAGAACTAAAAAACACTAATGAAATATAAATTTTTTTAATTAAGGTTTAAATTTTTATTAGCATTTATTGGTTCATTAAGTAAACTAAAATCTTTTTTACCATTTTAATATATTTTCAGCTAAAACAGAAAGATCTAAAACTTTTTTAAAATTTATATATTTAAATATAGATATATTTAAATAAAAGATTAAAAAATATACTTGAAATAAATAGTTATCAAATATAATAAACATTAAAACATCATTAAAAAATGTGACACATGGTATTTTCCCCCTATGGAGAAAAAAGTCAACTTTATTATATAAGATTATGTTACAAAATTTCAAAACATATAATCTTATAATTACCAAATTTATATCTCAAATAAATATTTTTTTTTTTAAATCAATTCCGTGTTTTTAGAGCGCGGATCAAAATCTAGTTTTTATTAAATACTAAACTGTGTTATATTTTAATATCCATTCCTACTTAAAAATACAAATGTAGTGCCAGTTGCATATGTTTCAAAATTCCTATTGATATTGCTGTAGTTTACTTAGTTTGGTAAAAGCATATATGTAGCTATAATTGATTTGCATTGTAGGAAGAAGAGTTGTCACTACCTGCAATTTTTATATCTAATTAACATTTCCTACCTTTTTGTTAGTCTCCAGAGGACAAAACTTAAGTACATGAGTTGTGTTGTGTTCACTACTAAACTCTAAAGTGAAGGATTCTCCTAAATTTACGCCACTAGCTTCACAAAATTCATCCCAACCATTTCCCAAAGCAACAGTTCCATCTCTTGTCAATAGATATGCAGGCCATTCCATTCTGTTTTTACCCAAAATAGTTATCTTCCCAAGCTTGTTGATACCATTAGCCTTCGTAAATTCACTTGGAAGATGCTGTGGAACATTAGAACAAGTACATTTACTTACCACTTATAAATTCAAGACAGAAACTAACCTATCTTTGAAAATGAACTTACCAGCTTACAGGCTCTGACATCTTCTGGTGTGAGTGTTAATATGACCGATCGCTTTTGTATTGCTGAGGATGAACCACTGCTTCCAGGTTCTGTGGAAACATATGCTTTGAAATTGCTAGACTCTGTACCTAACAATCTGAGCATACGAGTTCCGTCTTCCCATATTAACTCCATAGTAAAGGAATCGCCTGACTTAAAGTTGTTTGCTTCAGCAAAATCTTTCCAAGCCTTTCCCAAACACACTGTTCCTTGTTTTGCCTGTTGGATTGTTGTCAGCCATTTTTTACCATCTCTACCCAACAGATATATCATTCTGAGCTTGTTCAGGCTATTCTCTCTCGCAAATTGTGATGGGACAACCTGGAAAAAGATTCAAACGAGAATACATATAACACTAAGAGTCCAAAAGAGAAAACTAATCCTCTGAAAAAAAGAACAGTTTGATAAACTTACCAGTCTACACGTTATGAAACAGGAAGGTGTAATCTTTAATGTCACGAATTGTTTTTGACTTGATGAAGTTGAATCTCTCCCTCTCTCATGATTCTTTTCTCTTTCCATTGACCTAGTCTCTGCTTGACTATCATCCCCTCTTTTGCTTTTCTCTTTGATGATTTTCTCAGAGCTGTTACGTTCTATGGGAGGAGACTTTTTCTGGTTTGTTTCTAAATATCCTCCTCCTCTGTCAATGCTATATTCCGCAGGGCACAAGCTCAGCACAGGATCTGTGTCTTCCCAAATCAACTTGAGAGTGAAGGAGTCACCTGTCTTTAAGCCGTTTGCTTCAGCAAACTCTTTCCAGCCGCCTCCCAAAGCCATGATTCTTTCTACTTTGTTGTTGAGTAGCAAACTAGTCTGATGCTTAATACCATCTCTGCCTAACAGAGTTATCATCCCAGGCTTGTTGATGTCATTCTCCCTCGTGAAACTCTTTGGAAGATGCTGTAGAGAATTTCAATAATAATCGAACAAAATTTAAAATTGCATCGTAACAAAGAACATCTCTAACTCTAGTTTATGTTTTCTACTAAATCTTAATAGAGTAAAAATGGGATTACTCCAATAATGGAGTAATGTAGTCATTTTTACTCATTACTCCATTTTCCAATCCAAAATGGAGTAAAGTTGGAGTGAAACTCAACTCCATTATGGAGTTAGAAAAATTGAGTAATACATTCTCCAACTCTAGTCTAATTTTACTCTAAAACAGAGATGCTCTAACGCCTGAAACAAGAAAGTGTGTGATGAACTCACCAGTCTGTATTTACTGACACTGGAAGGTGTAATCGTTAATGTCACAAATTGTTTTAGGCTCGATGGAGTTGAATCTCTCCCTCTCTTTTTTCTCCCCCATGACACGTTATCTTCTTTGTTATTCTCATCTTTGCTGCCATTGTTTCTGTTGATAGGATCTATGAAAAGAGTCTGTTTCTTTATAGCTTTGAAATACTCTTCTTGCTCTCTGTCAGTGGTAGAATCTGCACAGCACAAACTAAACACCGGAGTTGCGTCTTCCCACATCAACTTGAGTGTGAAGCCTGATTCTACGCCATTTGCTTTGACAAATTCTTTCCAACCCTTTCCCAAACTCATACATCCTCTGTTCTTTTGCAGAAGGCTTGTCGGCCACTTTGTACCATCTTTACCCAATAGATATACCTCCCCAGGCTTGTTGATGCCATTCTCTCTCACAAATAGTGCTGGAAGAGACTGTAGAGGACGAATAAACATGCGTCAAAACGAATAAGGGGCAGAATCCAGAGTTGTTGATGATAGACTTACCAATGAAGGATATGTTACATCACCAGGTGGAAGTGTAAATGTTACATATTGTTTATAATGTGGCAAATATGATGAATATGATGAAACTCTTCGTTTCGGACTACACTTCTTTTTTCCTGTCTCCATCAACGACTCCATTGAGCTGCAATCTTCTTCACTGCTCTCGCCTTGTCTGTATTCATCTTTGCTGCTAAGTTCTGTGGAAAGAGATTCCCTCTCGCTAGCTTGTGAAGAATCCTGTGTATCATTATTAGATTCTGTAGGGCAGAAACTGAGCATAGGAGTTTCCCCGTTTCTCACTAGTTTAAACATAAAGAAGCCTCCTGCTTCTTGTCCGTTTTCGTCACAGAAACTTCTCCAACCTCGGTTCATGTAAAAAGTATCAGTTGAATTGTTGAAGCTCAGATCCAATGTTGATACGTATGAGGCAGTACACCCTCCTATCTTGTACCAGTACAAGCGTAGGGCCCAAAAGTACTAAAAAGGGGAGACTCAAGTTTAGGCCCATGAGTGTTGGTACTCTTGGGTGATGCAGAAGAATAAGGAATAACGGCTCAGGTATGAGTCATCGACATGTCACGTGCGTTTGTTGGTCATGAGGAATGCATGAGGNCAAGGGAGTAGCGAGTATAAGAAGTAGAGAGGAGAGTAGGGTAAGTTTTTATCAGTGGATTTGTTATCTTTTGATCACGAAAGGAGAGAGAGAAACTCCAAAGAAAAACTCATTGTAATTCTCTTTTGTGATCAATATAATTCCAGGACTTGCCTTCTCTGTTATTTTACAAGTTCGATATACCTAAAGTGTATCAAATTGGTATCAGAGCAGTCGAAACTGGAGACCATGCCACCGAAAACGTCCGATCTTGCGGTAACTGTGGAGCAACAAACCAACCGGATCTCTCTCCTTGAACAAGGGATGAATGAGATGTCGGAGTTGAAGCTGTCCATGAACGAGATGAAGCAGCAGCTCGCTCTCATGTTCACTCGTTGGGAAGTTGACCAGAAGGAACGGGAGGATGCAAAGCTGCGAGAACGTGAGATCGATCGAGGAAAACAACACGTGACGGATGATTTTGGCTCCGGAACCACGATCGGAAGCAGAGTACCTCTGAAGAACGATTTTCCGGGTCCGATGATGTCACCACCCCTGTTTCCGGAACGTGATGAGCGTTTCAGTAGCCGTGGATGGTACGGCCAAGGATCGGGGTCACAAGGTGACCGTCTACCTTGGAAGAATCGTCGTTTGGAGCTTCCAACGTTCGATGGAGAGGAAGCTGAGGGTTGGATCTTACGTGTGGAGGAGTTTTTCGATCTGGGTGATTTCACAGCGGAGGAGAAGTTACGCGCGGTTCGTCTGTGTTTCACCGGAGACGCGCTGCTGTGGTTTCGCTGGGAACGTAGTCGAACGCCATTTCGTAACTGGGGTCATTTGAAACATCGTGTGTTGGAACAATACTCAACCCTCACCGACGTTACAGCTGGCGAGAAACTTTTGACGCTCAAGCAGGAGGAGACGGTGAGAGACTTTAACCGTGAGTTCATCTCCTTGGCTTCTCATGCCCCAGATATCCCAGATGCGGTGTTGGAACTTGCGTATTCCAATGGCTTAAAGTCCAAGATTCGCGCGGGTATGAAGATGTTTGATCCGCGTAACCTCGATCAGATGATGAAAATGGCGAAGAAGGTGGAGGAATGGGAAACAGACGAAGGCGCTAGTGGGCCTCGCATAACCAAACCCAATTCAAGTGGGCCTTCTTCCTCACCCAAGACTGTTGCAACTGGACAGCACGCGGCCCAACAGCAACAGAAGCCGAAAGCCCAAACTACCCCAACTAACCCTAATCAACGTAGTCAGGGAAATCGAGGACCGGCGTCTCACGGGAGGTTGAAACCTCCGTTTCGGCGTTTGACTCCGGCGGAGGTTGCGAAATGGAAGGCTGAGGGACTGTGTTTCAAGTGTGATGAGAAATTTCACCCTAATCACCCTTGTCCACAGGCACAGCTCACGGTGTTGCTACTCCATCCTAACGGCGTTGAGGAGGAGCTGCTGGAGGAGCCTTGTGATTTGGAGGCGGAAGTAGTCGAAGCACTGGTTGCGGAGGTCTCCATTAACTCGGTGGTGGGTCTGGCGTCGCCGCGTACGATGAAGTTAAACGGGTTAATCGGTGACACGACGGTGGTGGTTCTCATTGACAGTGGAGCTACACATAACTTCATATCAGAGAAGCTCATCACTCGTTTGGGACTACAAACAAGCTCTACGGATTCCTACGGGGTGTTGGTTGCGGGAGGAGTCAGGGTACAAGGCAAGGGAGTTCTCGAGGAGATGGAGCTCAAGTTGCCTTCTTGTACCATCACAGCCAGCTTCCTACCTCTGGAACTTGGTATCGCGGACGTGATTTTAGGGATCCAGTGGCTGGACACGTTGGGCGAAGTGTTGGTCAACTGGAAGCTCCAGCGTATGAGTTTTTGGAAAGATGAAGTCTGGGTCACTTTGCAGGGGGATATGAGTTTGCACTCTGCTGAGGTCTCTCTCAAGTCCCTGTGGAAGGCCTTAGGCAAGGGAGAAGAGGGTATTCTGGTGGAGTTTGGGGGCCTTCAACGTAAGGTGGCGGCTGTCGCAGTAACCACAGAGGGAGGATGGGAGCCTCTGTTGGCACAGTTCTCGCAGGTGTTTGAGGAGCCCACGGAATTACCTCCTTCGCGAGGGAAGGAGCACGCTATCACATTGGAAGCAGGAGCTAAGCCGGTTAGTGTTCGTCCTTTCCGATACCCACAAGTGCAGAAAGCAGAGATCGAGAGACAGATTGCTGCAATGTTGGCTGCGGGTATTATTCAGGAGAGTGGCAGTCCGTTCTCTAGTCCGGTCTTGTTGGTTAAGAAGAAAGACGGCAGTTGGAGATTCTGTGTCGACTATCGAGCTCTCAACCGAGTTACCGTGGCGGATAAATATCCTATTCCCATGATTGACCAGTTGCTAGACGAGTTACATGGGGCAAGGGTTTTCTCGAAGCTTGATCTACGGTCCGGTTACCATCAGATCCTAGTCAAGCAAGAAGATGTGCCCAAGACAGCCTTCAGGACGCACGACGGTCACTACGAGTTCCTCGTCATGCCCTTTGGGTTGTCTAACGCTCCGGCAACATTTCAATCCCTCATGAACCAGGTGTTTCGCCCCTTCCTCCGGAAGTTTGTGTTGGTGTTTTTCGATGATATACTCGTTTATAGCCGGAGTGAAGCAGAACACAGGGAGCACCTTGCTGTGGTTTTGCGTGTCTTGGAGGAGAATAAGCTTTATGCTAACAGGAAGAAGTGTCACTTTGGTACTTCTCAGGTGGAATACTTGGGGCACATAATATCAGGAGAGGGAGTTGCAGTCGATGGGGAGAAGATCAAGGCTATGCTCCAGTGGCCTATACCCAAAAATGTGAAGGGGTTGCGTGGGTTCTTGGGGCTGACGGGATATTATAGGAAGTTTGTCAAGGACTATGGCAGCATTGCTAGACCCCTCACCGTTCAGCTACGTAAGGACCAGTTCCTTTGGACTGATGAGGCAGCTAAGGCTTTTCAGGAATTGCAACGGGCCATGACAACGGTTCCAGTGTTGGCAATGCCAAACTTTGAAGAGGTTTTTGTGATCGAGTCTGATGCTTCTGGAGTGGGATTAGGAGCTGTTCTCATGCAGAATCACCAGCCCATTGCGTATTTCAGTCAGGCTCTTACGGATCGACAAAAATTGAAGTCCATCTACGAGCGGGAGTTTATGGCAATTGTCTTTGCTATCCAGAAGTGGCGCCACTATTTATTGGGGAGGAAATTTGTGGTCCGTACTGATCAGAAGAGTCTACGATTTCTGATGGAGCAGCGTGAGGTTAATTTGGAGTATCAGAAATGGCTCACAAAGTTATTGGGGTTTGATTTCGAGATAGTATACAAGCCGGGGCTGGAAAATAAGGCTGCAGATGCGTTGTCCAGGGTGGTCGAGGTTAAGGAACTGCTAGCTGTGTCAGTGGCTCAAGTGTTGCAGTTGGAAGAACTGGCTAGTGAGGTTGATAAAGACTTGGAGTTACAGAAGATAATCACTGAGTGGAAGAGTGATCCGGCTACACATCCCGATTACTCTATGGTACAGGGTCGCCTTCTGCGGAAGGGTAAGTTGGTAGTCCCTAAGTCTTCTTCTCTGGTGGGATTGATTATGAAGGAATACCATGATGGCAAATTTGGAGGGCATGGAGGAGTGGTAAAAACACAGAAACGTATTGGCGAGGTGTTCTTTTGGGAGGGTATGATGACCGATATCAGGCGTTTTGTGGCTTCCTGTGTGGTTTGTCAGCGCCAGAAATATTCAACTTTGGCTCCGGGGGGCTTGCTTCAGCCACTTCCTATACCGGACAGGGTTTGGGAAGACCTGTCTATGGACTTTGTAGAAGGCCTTCCTCGCTCGCAAGGGAAGAACTCGGTGTTGGTAGTGGTGGATCGTTTGACAAAGTACAGTCACTTCATCGGGTTGAGTCATCCGTTCTCTGCAACAGATGTGGCATTGGTTTTTACGCAGGAGATTGTTCGCTTACATGGTTTCCCTAGAACCATTGTCTCTGACCGCGATAGAGTCTTCACAAGTTCCTTCTGGAAGGAGTTGTTCCGCTTGTCTGGAACCCGGTTGTGCTTCAGTACTGCTTATCACCCGCAGTCTGATGGTCAAACTGAAGTGACCAACCGCAGTATGGAGACCTACCTTCGCTGCTTCGCCGGTGACAAACCAAAGACATGGCTGCAGTATTTGGCTTGGGCTGAGTTCAGCTACAACACGTCGTTTCACTCGGCGATTCAAATGACCCCGTTTCGAGCTCTCTACGGTCGTGATCCGCCTGCGTGGGTGAAATACGAGACTGGTTCCACGACTAATGCAGAGTTGGAAGGGCAGCTCAAGGAACGCGATGCAGCTTTACAGTTGTTAAAGGAGCATTTGCATCGCGCACAACAGCTCATGAAGGAACGTGCTGATAACTCTCGCCGGGATATTGAGTTCGCTGTGGGAGAGTGGGTGTATGTGAAACTTCGTCCCTATCGGCAGCGCTCTCTGGCAAGAAGGTTGAATGAGAAGCTCTCGGCTAGATTCTATGGGCCATTCGAGGTGGAAGCAAGAGTCGGCAAGGTGGCTTACAAACTGAAACTTCCGGCTGACGCTAAGATTCATTCCACCTTCCACATTTCTCAGCTTAAGAAAGCGGTGGGAACAGTGACAGACATCTCACCCTTGCCGCCTCAGTTGAGCAGTGAAGGAGAGATGGTGGTGGAACCAGAGAAAGTGGTGGAGACACGGATGAATGGTAGTACTGGTCAGAAAGAAGTGCTGATTAAGTGGAAGGGACTCCCGAGTCACGAGTGCACATGGGAATGGGCGTCTGCTATAACCAAGCGTTTTCCGGACTTTGACCTTGAGGACAAGGTCAATTTCGATGGCGATGGTATTGATACGTATGAGGCAGTACACCCTCCTATCTTGTACCAGTACAAGCGTAGGGCCCAAAAGTACTAAAAAGGGGAGACTCAAGTTTAGGCCCATGAGTGTTGGTACTCTTGGGTGATGCAGAAGAATAAGGAATAACGGCTCAGGTATGAGTCATCGACATGTCACGTGCGTTTGTTGGTCATGAGGAATGCATGAGGNCAAGGGAGTAGCGAGTATAAGAAGTAGAGAGGAGAGTAGGGTAAGTTTTTATCAGTGGATTTGTTATCTTTTGATCACGAAAGGAGAGAGAGAAACTCCAAAGAAAAACTCATTGTAATTCTCTTTTGTGATCAATATAATTCCAGGACTTGCCTTCTCTGTTATTTTACAAGTTCGATATACCTAAAGTGTATCAAATGTCCATGATCTTTCCCCTCCATCTACTAAAACAATCTTGCGGCATTTTCTTGTAAGACCATTTGAGCTTGTAACATGTTGTGGAAGATACTGCAAACCCCACATTCAACACAACAGTGAGATTAATTTAATTAGGGGTTTGTTTGTATATCTTCAGCATACAAGAGTCAAATCGGGAACACCTTAAACAATGTAAGAACAATCAGAAAATTAAGCATGTAACTATGTTATCTTGTAAATGCACATTCTGAGACGAGAATATACGAGTCAAGTCTTGCAACACAGCCAAATGCTAATGCACAAATAATACAAAGGGGCTAAATCATTATCATCAAAAAGGCCAAACAATCTGATCAGGCATATCTTAAGTGGGGTACCATTTAAGAAGACAGGCTGAAAAAGGCATTATTAAGCTTTTCTTTGGAATATCAACACCTTATATAACCATTTAAATTTCTATCCTAAGCAGAAAAAGACTTGAGTTCTTTCTCATCCGGCTTTAGTATAGTGGTATTACAATAGAAGAAGTATAACGCAAATCACAAAAACAATTCCATATCCCTAAAATCAACCATCATATCCTTTCTGCAAGCATACAGCCTACGGAAATCAGAAGAAACCTGAATGAGTCTGAGAAAAACAAACTCAAACTGAAATATGAAAATTGACCCTGGTTCGATTTCTCTTCAAAAATGGATCAGATGGTTTCAGTAATATAGCAAAACGTGAACAAACACTTTCATTAGTTACATGAATGCAAGAAGGCAGGAGATTAGACTATAGACTAGAGACTCCAAAACACCCGTTAATTGAGTGACTGCTAAAACTAGTAGTGACTGAAAAAAATACCAGTTTATCTGTGCGTAGACTAGAAGCGGTGACAAGAGCCACAAAACAGGAATTCTCTGAAGAAGAAGAAACTGCTTCTGCTTCAGAACTTCTCATCTTCGTTTTCTTGTTTCTGGGAATCTCTGTATCAGCCCACATCTTAAGACTGTAGTTGGACTGGAATCAAATAACATAACAACAGAATCAAAGAGAAAGTGAAATCACCAGTATCATCCTCCTCCTCCTCATCATCATATCTATCAACTTGTGTTCTTGGATACATACGCTTCTTCAACAAAGTTCTATCTGAGTTTTTTTAAAAAAAAAAAAATCACTCAAAGTGTAAATTCTGAATTCAAGAAATGCAGAAAAAGAAGAAGAAAGACTCACCAATGTTGTTTTTGCATGGAGGGGGAATGTCTTGAATCTCACAGAAATTTTGACCTAAATTCGAAACATGGAAGACCATATCTCCCTCGTACCTAACAAGGACAACGCACCCGAATCGAAGATTATTAGCATCCGCGAACTCTCTCCAGCCGTCACCGAGTCTCCGACCAGTAATCTCCACTCTCCAGGTCATATCCGACGCGTCGGATTTGAGCTCCGCCGTCGCGCTTGCTCCTACCTCAATGTACTTGGAGAAGAAGTCTTGAGGAATCATCTACAAAGCAACAACACGAGGATGAATGCACTGAGAGAGTAAGGAGTTCGGTGAGAGAAAGAGAGATGGTTACTTACGAGGTGAGTGTGGAAGTCGGGAAGAAGAGTGTGGAAGAATTGTGGGCGAAGAAGCGTTGGTGTCGCCATTGTCGAAGCTTCTTCACTTCTCCTCTTCTTACAACAACATTAAACAGTTGGGCAGTTTGACAAAAAAAAAAAGAGAAAAACAGTTGGGCCTCGTATTTTAAAAGAAACAACAGTTGGGCCTTATGAAAATAGATAACATGTTTTATTTGGGCCTAAAGAAAAGGTATGATGAAGGCTTTCTACACTCTTAATGAAATACTTAGATTTTGACCCCGCGCTCGCGCGGTTTTTATTTTTTACAAAGTTATAATATTTTTTGTTTTTCATATAGATATAAATATATTATATATGTACCATCCGGATCATATAGATATATTATATATGTACCATCCGGATCATTAGATATATTATATACATTCGAATAAATGGATATCCGAGGGTCCAGATCATAAGTAATTTTACGGATCCGGATAGTGAAATTTAGATCTGGATATCCAGATCTGAATCCACTATACATTTTTAAAATATTTAAAATATAATTATATTTATAGATGTATAGATGAATAAACTAATCACCCTATTAATTAACAATATATTTTCACATAGTACTTTCCATTTAAAATATAAAGTAAGTTATACACGGATATTTTGTATATCTTTTGACTTATTATTGCAAATCAGCATCTTATTTTCCGATCAATTTGATCTGTTCAAGATTGTTTTTCCCTTTTCCGATTTATAAAAAAATCTTAAATCTTTTTTTTTATCAACAAAAATCTTAAAATCTTAAAAAACATTAAAATGTAATACTAATAAATAAGAGTCGGATAAGGTCGAGATTGGTCGACAGCGATGACCTAACTTTAAACAGAGACAGTAACCCGAAACGTCCGGCAAAGGTCCAAACCAAGCCAATGGTCTCTCGCCACGTCATCAAGACCGTGTCAATCGTCAAATTCGTCGTTAGCGTGCCTCGGATTATTATTTCCATATTGAAAAACATGTGCGTGTCTGCGTCTACACACATAAGCCTCATAATACATATAAATATATGTACTATAGTCGTATACAATACGATATTTTGTTAATATAAATATAAACGAGAAATGATCCTTTATCCATCTTTATTCCATTTTTCTCGATCAGTGGTGTTTGTTTGAGCTTTCTTCTCTCTTTCTTCTTTGTATCGTTTTGAGGAAATATTCCTTAACCTGCATCGATTTATATTAAAAGAACAATCATGGAGGTCATGTTGGGTTAATCTTTTGGAATTGGTATGGCGGCGTGCGTTAGAGATCGTGGTGCGCAGGATAAGACCGTACCACCGTTTATGGCTGATGAATCAGGTAGAGGCGGGTCGCAGATCGGGCTGGCGAGCCAGATCGGGTTGAGGATGAGTAGTAAATCAGTGGAGGAGCCGTGGGATGATAGCTCATCGTCCATCGGAGAGATCAGTGAAAACGAGGAGGAAGACGACGACGACGTTTCATCCCAAGTAGGAGGAGGAGGAACACTTGATACATTCAGCTCCTCTCTAGAAGACTCTCTACCGATTAAGTATGTTTTCAATCTATTATCCAAAACAGAGATTCAAATAACAAAGTTGACAAATAAATAAAAAATATTAGACCTGATATTGTAATGAAAACAATTAGGTTTGTTTTGTCTGAATACTGATAAGTTTGTTCCTTTGTTGTATTCAGGAGAGGGTTATCGAACCATTACGTGGGTAAATCAAAATCATTTGGAAATTTAATGGAAGCTAGCAAAGCAAAGGATCTGGAGAAAGTATAGAATCCTTTCAACAAGAAGAGGAGATTGCTTATTGCTAATAAGCTGAGGCGTAGAGGAAGATCTATGTCGGTTTCCAATATCTACACGTGGTAAAACCCTAATTCCATGCCTTTACTTGCACTCCAAGAGCCCGATAAAGTGGATGCTGATGGTGATAATCAAACTATAAGTCTGTTTGAGAGGAGGAAGATGATGATGAAGAGTAAGAAAGATTTGATGGCTCAGACTCAAAGTTGTTTCTGTCTAAGTAGTTTGCAAGAGGAAGAGGATGATGGTGGTAGTGGTGATGATAATGAGTGATATAATTCTTGTTTTTAGTTACTGAAAGTTCTAGTGGTGGAAGATTTGATTTGTTAAAAATATTATTATTTATTAGTAACAAATTAAGAATTTTAACTATCTACAAAGGATCATTTCTTCTTCATCTATTCTTTTTTTTGTTTTTTTGTCTGATAATATTTTTGAAAATCATCTGAAACTATGTTTACTTTTATGTCAGAAAGCATCATTTGTGAAGAGCATCTTGAAAACGTAACACCTCTCAGTTGTGGAGGTTGATGAGGATCTATGGTTCTCAAAGTCATTCATATGTTTTAAACACTATGGGGCATATATTAACATAATTGTCAGAATCAATGGACTTCAGCATATCAGTTAGATCAATCATGACTGTGTCCCAGATGTTGTGATTCACAACTCTTCTTTAGTTCGGTGAGACGACCGTGACAGAGGAGTATGTCTCTCCACCAAAAGGCTGGAGCCAACACCCGGTGATATGTTTGCAACCCACCAAAGACTTATGAGGTTTGTTTTGGCGTGGCCTGTGTGGTTTATATGAATTGAATTGTGATAGATAATTGGAGAGAAGCTTTTGTCTGTTGTTTCATGTGTGAGAAGAGCGAACTAGCACTGATTTGAGAAGGGATACTAATGCCTCCCATGTGTAATTTTTTCTTTGTTTCTATTACAGTGTCAAGAATTGAATAGAACGACCTTGCCCTAGCCCAAACAGAGAAAGAAATCTTGGACCTGAGTGGTCAACAAGGTTATCTTCTTGAAACATTTTTTGGGTACAAGTTACAACTAGAACATTTTTTGGACGTTTCGAAATATTTAAGACTGACCATATATAAGGGATATCTTGTAATTTCTAAACTTCTTTATCTAAAAGTATAAATATTTTGAGGTTTCCCACCATACAAATATTAGCCTTTATTCATAGAATATATAAATATATTATAAATTTCAAAATATTTAACCATATACACTATGTATGAGTTCTCCAAAACTGTTTAATGATTCTGGAAGTTTCCGACTCTACAAGAAAACATGTGTTTAACGACTACAGTATGGGTTGTTAATTGGTCGTAATATGCCATTTACGACCAATTAACATCGAAAACCCATTGGTCGCTATTCGCTATTCGTAATGCACAATTAGTCGTAATATTACGACAACAGATTGTAGTCGTAACCGAGTCGTAATATTACGACTAATACATTGGTCGTAAGTTTGAGGTGACAACTGTAGTCGTAACGTAGTCGTAAAGTAATTGGTAGTTAATTAGTCGTAATATAATTGGTAGTTAATGAGTCGTAATTGATGTAGTCGTAAATCAAACGTAAGCATTGGTAGTTACTTAGTCACAATTTTACAACTAAGTAACTTTGACAGTCGTTGTCCATTGGTCGTAAATTAAAGACTAATTTACGACCAATGTTGATTTTATTTTTATATAAAACGATTTTTTTAATTTGATTTTTTAAAAATTTTTGGTTTTTAATTCGATTTTTTTTTTAAAAAAAATTAATAACTTTTTTAAAAATGTATATAAAATTATATTTGATTAAAATAATATATAAAGTATTCATACAAAAAAACCGAAAAAACTAAGGTGTTTTGTTGAGGTTCATGTCTTAGAAGAACTCGGAAGTGTGCTGCTCCGCACGTCGCTCTAAATCCACTTGCTCTTCTTGAGTGGGGTTGGGGTTAAAGCTCGGACGTAGAACTTTCCATGCATTTGCAACAGTTGGGTTTGGGTTTGAGTTCTCCGTCCTAAGATCGAACATATTCGCCATAGCCTTGAACTTGTCTTTATGCTCGTCTATGACTTTGTTGGCAGCTGCTAGTTCCCGTCAGAGAGAGGAATCTTCTTCTATTCTTGCTGCATGTTCGGCCCTCGTCCTCGGGACATCGTTCACAGTCCCGATCCCAACAATAGGTCCCATTTTCTTCGGAGCAACCTACAAAAGATCAAATTTTTTTTACTAATTTTATTTATATAATTAAGTACAAATGTGAAAATTTAATAAAAAAATTAAAAATGTTAATAAAATTAAAAATTAAAATAATTTACCTGCTCAAAAATCTTGTCTTGGTCGATGGTGGAAAGCTGGACCGGTGGAGCATCCAGATTTTGTTGCGACATCTGAGTCTGGATCTCTTCGATCTGAGCCTCTACCTCGTTGTAGATCTTCTCTGCTTAAGGATGCACAAAAGTCCCATCAGAACGCTGGTGGGTAATCTTGTATGCCGGGCGAGAGATGGCGGCGCTCCTTCTTTGGCAGCCTATATAAAAAAAAATTAATAAAAATTTTGCGTTAAAAAAAATAATAAAATCAAGAATATTCAAACACTTACAATTTCAAGTGCCCTCCCATCATGTGGGGTCTGCCCGGAAGTATGAAGAACTAGCGGGTTACCTTGAGCATCCTTGGTCATCGGACCGCAAAGTACTTGGTAGACTTCGCCCTTGACTCATGCTTCATCCAAAAAGGCACCAAACCAACCCAAACGTCATTGCTGAGGTATGTTGGTTTTGCGTCATCCTGTATTAGCCTCCAGTCGTCCTTCCAATCTCCAACGAAGTTCTTGAGGAGCTGCATCGCCTTTTTGTAGAACCCAGCTTTGACCTCCTCGTTGACACCATTGGATCAATTCCATTTTTGCTACAAAATATTTATGAAAAATTAAAAAAAAAACATTAGTTGTAGTACCTTAACATACTATTGATGCATGAATTATTTTTTTTTTTAGAAAAATGGAGAAACTAACCGCGAAACACTTAAACCACGTAATGCGAACGTGGTCCGGTGTAAGAGTCCAGTTCGGGTGGGCATGCCGAAAATTTGCCCGAATGATATCCCCAACGCTCTGTCCTAAAACATTGCGCGTCAAAAACCTACAAAATTTGAAAGAATTTATATATTTATATCAATATATATTTCACTACAAGAAAACGTTGGTATTACGACTAAATAAATTTTTAAAATTTAAACTTTAATTAAATAATTTAAAATAATTACCAAAACGTGCCGGGGTGTCGATCCGGATTAACGATTCGTAAACCTTCTCGTCCCGGCATCCCGAGAATATTTTCCACCGTATATCTCGCATATAGTGCATTCGGCGGCACAATCAAATCTGGATGAAGACCGGTAGCCGGATCAGGATTTTGTTGCGAGTTCTAGGCATGTGGGGGAGGCGGAGGGGGAGGCGGAGGGACATACTCAGGATCCGGCACATAAGTGAAGAAATCCGTATCATCCTCAACGCGCGGATAATACGAAGGGACATACTGCTCATGAGTAGTGCCGCCGGATGATGTGCCGGCAGAGGTAGAAACATTAGGGTCGTTTGATGATTGACCGAGAAAAGTACTCACGTAGGAGTTTCTAGCCGCGAGGTTCTAGATTCTCTTTCTACCAGACATAGCAATATATATATCTTAAATTTATAAAAAACATAAACCGGTTAAATTAAACAATTCAAATATATATAATTCCAGTCCTAAACTAATTCCAAACCTAATCTAATTACCTAACTAACCACCTAAAAGAAAAAAAAAATTACCTAGAGAGATGTTAAGTAGTTGTTAGAGAGAAGGGAATGAGCAACTGAATTGCTTCCGCGAGGTCCTTATATATATACAGTTTTGCTCTTGGTCGTACATTAGTCGTAATTTTACGACCACATTACGACCAATAGTCATAAAATAGTCGTAATATTACGACTAATGTACGACCAACACCTATTACGACTGCGTATTACGACGACATTACGACTAATGTGTCTCCATTTGTATATTATGACCAATTAGGGTCGAAGCATTACGACTATGTTCCAACAATTAGCTGTAACTTAGTCGTAATGTTACCACTATTTAGATTCGAATGATCTATTAGTCGTAATGTAGCCGTTTAAACCCTAAACCCCAAACCTAAACCTAAACCCCCAAACCACAAACCTCAAACCTCCAACCCCTAAACCCCAAACCTAAACCCTAAACCCCAAACCACAAACCACAAACCTCAAACCTCCAACCCCCAAACCCCAAACCACAAATCCCAAACACTAACCATCAAATCTCGAAACTCCAAAATAATTTCATAATGCAAACATAATTAAGATATCCGAATATTATGCAGATCATAATTTCATAATGCAAACATAATGTATTTCATAACGGAATCAAATACAACTGACGGTAGAGTACATAATCAAACACAATCACTCGTCATCATAAACATTTTCCACCTCATCATTCTCTTTAAATTCATCTTCGTTGGCTTCGTCCAAAATCGCATCGTCTGGAAGTTCTTCATATATTGGATTATGCGGATCAACAAGTAAGATATCATCAATGCGTTTCTCAGGTACTTCTACTTCATTTACGACATCTTCTTGTAAAGGCGGTTGTTCATCGTTCAATACTCGGCCCCGAGGTGTAACTTTTATAGCGGCTAACCAGGAACTTCCAGATTGTCTGATCCTTGGGTAAGGTATAAAACATACTTAGTCTGCCTAAGAGACAATATGTATGGCTCAAATTTGTTGTACATCCTTGTGGCATTTACGTCAACAACACCAAACTTACTATACCGAACACCTCTATTGACAGTGGGGTCAAACCATTCACATTTGAAGAGTACGCATTTGAGCTTCATGCCGGGAAACTCCACTTCGATGATCTCTTGTATGATTCCGTAAAAATCTGTTTCGCCTTTCACACATACCCCATAGTTCATTGTTGCTCTCTGGTTTCCATATTCGTAAGTGTGAAAAGTGTAACCACGTGTGAAATACATAGATGCTGTGGTGACCTTTGCGACCGGACCTTATATCAATTCGTGTAACCACTGAAGATAAAATGGATCATCATAATCGACCTGCAGTATATATCGATCATCAATATATATATTTATATATATAGATAATTAAATATATATATAATTTCATAAAATATATATATTTACCTGCTTTTTAACCACTTCACAAAGTGTTGATCTTTCCTTTTGTT